TTTTGTTTAATTAGTTGTTTATGAAAATAAAGTAAATGCTCAAGTTACGTTATATATTATTTTCAATTCGATGGATTATGGCCTTTTGACGTTTAATATCAAAAATTCAAATATGAACTAAATCAAAAGTTTATTTATAAATTGAAAATAATAAAAATATTTAAAAAACAAAGAATTTCTCTCATATTAGAATAATCTTGTTTGATTTGCATTCATGAAAAAATATGTATGTTCTTCAAGAAGATATTAAGGAAAAACTATTGAATTATTTGTCAATAATAAAGTCGTTTTTTCTGAGTTACTTGTTTTCCGTTTTAAATCACATTGTGGCATGCAAATAAAAACAATGAAATTTTATTTTTTATTTTACGAAAAATTAAATAAAAAAACATTTTAAGTCCGAACGATAAATTATCAGTTAACTGACAGTTAGTTTTCACTATAAGGCATCAAATCAGTTTTCTTATTCTTCTTAGTATAGAATACTTCTGTTTAATAGGTCTGCTCGAAAGAAACATAATAAGAAAAATCGGTACTTAATGAGATAAATAAAAGTCAAGTTCTCATTAAAAGTCTCATGTTAATAATCAACGGGTTGAGCTTGAAAATTCAAAAATTTTAGCTGTGAAAGGTATTGAAATATGACTAGATAGGCAACAAGCTTGTTGTAATGATGCAAAAGTATAGTTTTCATTGCATTGAGTATTTAATGAATGTTTAGCATTAACATTGTGTACACATGATATGTAAACTTTTGTAGACGTTTGAAGAAAACAAGTAATACTAAAAACAAAAAGACAAGTGGTTACTAGTTTTTGATTGTAAAAAAGAATAGAAAATGATTCTCTTTGAATCAAACAATTCATAAAAAAATTTTGACTTTTTTTTTGAGAAGTTGTAAGTTTTATATCACATTAATATATGAAGAAGATCTCATGAATATGTATTGCAGTATTGTTTATTATATTGACCCTATCGACTTAATTAGAAACCTTAAGCAATACTACTACCACAGAAAGTAAAAGTTATCAGTGCAATTACACAAACATCATGACACTAACGAATAAAAGACTTCAATGAGATCCAAGTAACTCTTTAGATCAAATTAATAACAATTGCTTGTTAGAAAAGAAATTGTGTTCTGATTAAATAAATAAGATGACTAAAATAGTTGACTCTTATTAGCTAATTCACAACAATTAAGAATTATAAGAAATTCACATGCTCGCTGAAAAACAAATTAAAATTTAAAATACAAATAATCATTGATTTTAGTTATGTTTTTTTCTCACAATAAGACTGTCGTCTTAGGTATATAGACACGTGTAGTTTGAACGAGATGCAAGCTGTTACTTTATGTATCAAGTTGCTTGATTAACAACGTTACAGATAATGGACAAAAGGAAGAAAAGCAGTACATTTCTAGTTTTCGTATGAGTCTATTTCTTTCATTAAGAAGAGTTTTTACATTAATATTATTTCTTCAAGATATTTTTGATTTATAACTCGAGCATTATTAACATCTTCAGCAACAAAACATCTATTTCTGTTTTTGAATCAATTGTATACATACTATATAGATAAACTGATTCGAACATAATTACGTGAAATAGAATGATAAAACGAAAAAATTAAAAAAATCGACAGCAATAGATCTTTTAGAAAAACACAGAGAGAATGAAAAGGATGCAGTATTTTGTCTCTGAATTATTTTCTATTGGCAATAATGCTCTACAAATTATCGAGAATTGAACAAACATGCTTTGCCAAAACTTTTCCGCATATCAAAATAATTTCGAGTAATTTCATTATTCAAATTGAGCTAAATTTGGTGTCACAGATTTTTAATTTTCTACATGATAATAAATTAGTTTTTAATAGAACTATTTAATTGCAATTTTTGTGCAACACTATGTGTAATATATTCAATTTTTACTTGAACGATAAAAAAATAGTATTTCTTAGGTGTTTCTGTATTTATGTAAAATAAATTTTATACTTTTAATTTGCAGTGTATTTCGACAAAAAAATTCGACACAAGTTGGTATTTATTCATTTCATTGGAGTATGTTTTTTTAATATAACTCGAATCCCAAGCCACCAAGAATAAGAAAAACCGTTCTCAAAAGGCTCAATCGAGAATAAATATGATTCATCTATTTCAAATCGATCAGACTTCAGCATTGAATCTCATCCTTGAGTCTTTTCATTTTAATGATGACAGCCGCAACTCTCTATCTTGTTCCTATCAAATGTTATTCAGAAAAAAACCAAGCTGCCTTTTGTTCTGATGTGGACATGAGAAACGAAACCTTTGCAACAACGCAAAACAATACACGTTGATGCTCATTTACTTAGTTCTATATGCAGTATATTATAGATTCTGATCTTGTGTCAGTAAGCAAATGAGAAAACAACAGATTTTTTGTAGGCTTTTGCCAATCTAAAATCCAAAAATTTAAGTATCAAAAACAAAGTCTGATTTTCAATGTTTTGTTTTGATTGTAAACATTCTCTTATAACTCATGCTTATAGGTAGAACTTGGTTGTTTTAAAAGGAGATTATCTGCACATCTAACGAATAAAATATATTATAAGGAAAACAAACAATGTTGTCAATTTTTCAAATTATTTTAAGTTTTTTGAAGTTTTCCATTAAATTCATTCGTACAACACTTGAAGATAATGAAAAAAATGATAAACAAATTTGATAAAACTATTTTTACATTTTGACTAATTATAGATTCTCTTAGTAAGAATGTCACTTGAATACAATAAATCTAAAATAATAACTTGAATGTTACTGTTAAACATACATTTTCTACGACCTTTCAATTTTTTTTTTAAATTTTCAATATAGGAAAAACAATGATAATAGATCCAAGACTTGTTAATGATATCTGACTCTACTTATTTGCTTTTTCCTTATCTCTGTTGATGTGACCAGAAGAACTAGAACGAGGTGAATTCTATTTTGAACCAGGCCTCTCGATGTGTCGGGAGCTAGCCCTCCAGTAGCCCCCGACACTTTTTTAGCATGGGTGTGTGAATTCTGTTTGCTATCTGTCTGCGAAATTTTTAGTAGTTCTTCGATTTCTGGCAAATCTGTCAGAAAGCGCAATATATCTGTCAAATCTAGCAGAGAATATAGACTGTCTACCGAGTCTGGTAGACAGTGCAGGATATCTATCAAATTTGGTAGGTAATGTAGATTGTCTGTCAAATTTAGCAGAGCAGCTAGTGCACAGTGTCTGCCAAATTTGTTACATAATATGAATTGTTTGGCGAATCTAGCAAACATTACGTCGTATGATCGTCACTATTTAATCATATGATAGAATTTAAGTTTAACAAATAATTTCAAAAACGTTTTCTGAAATCAAAAATAGAAGCAAATGTTCGCTCGCGGATACTTATAAAAAACTACATTTAGTTGCACATCGAAGATTTTGATGGAGATAACTGTCTGCGAAAAATTATTGGCCCCGGCACTCTTGAAAATAATCGAGAGCCCTGATTCCATACTGGGAAGAAGTATTTTGCCTTTCACATTAGAATTATATTTCTAAAACTGCTTCTTCATTAATTGATCAAGGTCAGAGAATCAGTTAATGCAAGTTTCATAATTATTCATGGAAAGCAAAGTTGTTATTTGTTGACGAAATTAACGAGGTATCATATGAGCTCAGAGCACAACGACCATATGCACATATTAAAATTAGTGATAATAGAATTTCGAAGAAAATCAAGAGTGTAAGTATGAAATGTATGCAGAGTTTGAACTGGTATCCAATCATTTTTGTTTTTGTAATTTGACTCATTAATGAAATGACATTTTCTATGATATTTTGGTTTTTAGTTTTACATTTATATTTTATAACACCTATCAATCTATGTAAGTGCTTGTTAACCGTTTTCCAGAAAGATAAGATAGGTGTTAAAGAATTGCTTTAATTCATATATATTGCATGATATTTTGACCTACTCTCTGGTTCAAGCAAATCATTTTGTGCAGATGTTTTATCATATGGTCAATGCAAACAATGGTTTGAGCGTGTCGTTATTAACTGAGGTCAATGATTTCAGCGCACAGAGCGCAAGTTTTCGACAAATTGCTGTCAAAAAACTGAAGAAAACCGAACTTAGAAGGAGGAATTCAGTGATTATACTTATCTAGTTCCTGCCGAAACCGACGCAAATCAGACAGAGCCGGTAACCAGATTCAATCATTGAACTTCTGCTTCTAAATTACTATCAGTATCGAGTCGGAGATGGCATCTTATCTCCGAGTTCTTACCAGAAACCCAGCTGTCCGGGTGCTGACATCATTAACCTCGTCGAATTCCTGCTTCCAAATTCTTACCATTTTCTTAAGTTTCACAGCTGGAAATTATCCGTATTTCTTAACCTAGAAATATTCATATATGATCAAACTTGTTTTGTAGAAGAGTTCATTAATTGAATTACGCATTTATAAATTTGCCACTTCAGGAAAAATAAACTATATTTGTATGATACTGTCTTCGATCAATAACTCACATCATATCTAAGAAAAAGGCTCTCTATTTCATCTTTGATCATATTTGTGCAGAACTTTCTTTTTTGCATTCATGATTATGTGATAATTCTTTGATTTTTTAAAGTTAAGAATAATATTAAACGGTATAAAAAAAAAATAAATAAAACAGATTTCCAGATTATACAATGCGTAACAATCATTTCTTTCATAAAAATAAAATCGACCACGAAAACAATAATATTTAAATACATAAAAAGTTTTTAACAAACAAAGTAACAATTTATTTGTGGATCAAAATTTTCGTAAAAAGATATGTAGATCTAGATCTGCAGATAAATTGTTCTGTTTCTATTACATAGTCAAAGCAAACTGCTTTGTTCGATAAGTCATTTTTGTGAAGTTTAAAAGAACTTCAAGTTTTAGAAACTATAGATAGATGATTGTTAAACTAAACAAATTTCAATGGAAAAATGTTAACTGTTTACTCATCTTCTGAACTATCGTTTTCATCGACTTCCGGTTGACAGTATATTTCATTGAAATATTCTATCATATCGTTTCGTTTCATTGATCGAGCCAGTTCAAGTGGTGTCATCGTTAAATTCGATTGAGTGCCTTGCTCCATTAGTTTTCCATCATCGAGTAATAATTTTAGCATTGCTAAATCACTATAACGTACAGCAAGATGAATAAGATTATCACCCCTATTATTATTGTTGTCGCATACAGTTTTATTAAAATGTTTCAAAAACTGACGTGTTGCTGAAAGATTACTCTTTATAATAGCTAATTGTAATGGTGTATGATAATCATCATCGACATGATCAAACTTCTCTGAAATATTGATTGATTTTTTCACCAGATGTTCAACTACTAGATCAAGTATATCTTGAGAATTTATATTCATTGCAAGAATATGAAAAATATTCTGTTTTCTACTATTGATATCTTCGAGCAGTTTATCGAAGTCGTTTTTTTCCAGGAGAGCTTGGACAATATCGATACGATTGAGGCGTGTAGCATGTAACAGTACAGTTTCACCTAACTCATTTTTTTGTTTAAGTAAATCAAACTTCGCAATAGAAATAAATTTTGATGGAAGATCAGAACGATTATTCTGAATAGCCATATGAAGTAATTCAGGGCGTTTTGCAATAAATGGTCGACAGAACCGTAAAATTGGTTTAGAATCGTTTTCAGTAAATAATTTTACAACATCATCTGAAAGTTTATCCAAAAGCTGTTGAGTAGAGGTTGTTTGATTAGTATTGATTGAAGATTGAGACACTGAAATATTTTAATGAAATTAACCAAACTCTATAAAACTAACAAAAGATGTTAATGATTAGATCTGAACTAAGACAGTAGTTTCCTAATATTCTTTCGGAAAAATGAAGAAAAGAACACAACATATTTGGAAACTGTCTGTGACATGGTCTGAAGTTTACTTCTGTCATGTATAGTCGGTAACGAAAAAGAATCCCATCAAGTTTTCTTTTAGTAAAATTATGGTGAATACAATATCTTGGAATGCTCTGTGCCATGAGCGATGTCATTTATAAAATCTTACTCACCTGAATTTGATGGGCTGAGAGCTGACTGTGATTCCTATAATTAATAGAAATGAACATTTCATGCAAAAACTATGTGATTTAATTCACCGGTTCTGATGTTGATTGTTGCAAGTCAGTTTCACTTTCGCAAACAGGTACAAAAGCATCAGCTACATCGTCATTGGGCCATAGACTAGGTTTCATGCGTTTATTTGACATATTGTATATAAATGGCTCTGGATTTTTCATTGCGTTTGCTTGACAAGTAGAACATTGTGCTTAAGTAGAAAAAAGTGAAAATAAATTAATTGTTAAAAACAATAATATTATTAATTACAGGTTGGAACATAAAAATATCTTAATGTTTCTAACATTCTTTCTTTTTGTTGTAATATTATTTTGACAGGTGTAGGTTCATTAATAGAATATGGAAACAATGGTGTTCTAAATGATACCATTTGACCTTTAACTTCGATATCAGTAGCGGCAAATGATGTTTGCGATCCAATATTAGATGTGTCATATTGAAATGTAATTTGTAAATCTTTTAAAAAGGAAGATAGAAAACACTTATTTCAAAGAAATATTATTATTACTTCCATATTTGTTTTCTTCAAGTTTTTTGGTATAAAAAATAAGCACCTCTTCTTTGCCTGTTGTATAACCATATCGTGGTGCATATTTGTACATACGACAATCAGGTGGTGGCGAATGGGACTGTACGACTGATTCAGTAGGTCTAGTGTCTTCAACTATCTCTTTCTCAGCATCTTCCACCATTTCTTCCGAATAGATCGTTAAACCAAGATCAAGAATTGTTGGAAATTTGTCTTCGATATTTTTTTTTCTACCAATCGTAAATGCTAATTGAGTTTTTTTAAGATTATATTCTTGAACTATTTTTCTTCCTGAAGTTAACTCTGGAACAAGATTATTCACTGAACTTGAATCTAAATTTTAAATATTGTAAATCATAAATGTTTCAATGATGCATTTATATACTAACAATCGCCATCAAATGGGCGGAAATCACCATAGTTTTTCACCTCCTGTTCAGTTTTTTTATCAATCCGTAAACCTGAAAAACTGAAAAATTCCGAATTAAGACATAAAGGTCTTTTGCTGAAACTCTTCCAATACCTTTTAATACCATATGGACCTTCATCTTCGATTGGAAACCAAACAGAATTACTGCCTTGATCGTTCCGATCTTCATGATCCACATCTTTCAGTCCATATGGATGTATATAGCGACAATTTGATTTGTCATGAAAAACCGTCACAAGAAAAACCCCAATATAATATTGTTCTGCAGCGTTAAAGTAACATTTTGGGATCTGTAAGAAAAGCATTTAAAAATATCGCAAGATGAAAATGATAAAATTAGCTTACACGAATTGTTGGACCGGTGAAAGAAGAATTTTTATTTTTTGCTTTGAGAGTATTTCGTCTTTTTTCTCTTTGATTATCTTTACGAGTTCGCAATTTAGAACTATAGCATGGCTGTGCAATAATTTCCAGACTATCAGAACGAGATGGCATTCCAGATAGAAAAGCATTGAATTCTGAAACGACTACAAAAAGAATGTCAATAAATTTCAATATTGGCCGATTTATACATACTGTCAGTTGGAACTTCATAAGAGAGATCTAAATTTAATTCTGGTGAGAACTCAGACGAAGTTCCATTATCTGGAATATAAAACTATTTCAACAAATAGCCTTCAAACATCACTTACTGCTATCAGACAGTTGTAAGAAAAGATCTGGATCGTTTGAAATACCTGAAAGAAAGAACACATTACAGGCATTACTAAGAAAAAAATTAGAAATCATATATTTGTATAGACCTGCATTTAGATCGAATTCCTGAAGTACTTGACCTACAATGTAAAGAACTAGTTTTATTGCATATATTTTAATCAGCTTTACCTAACGCGCTTTCATCGAGTGGTGATACATCTAAGTTGTCGGTTAGACCTTAACAAGATATGAATGAAACAATGAATACATTTTTTAATCATTTATACCATTCATTTGATCATAAAATGACGTTGACATTCGTTTGTGATGTAATCTAAAAGGATTCGAACTAAATTTTTTCCATCCATATATATGAAATCATATCTAAGCGTGTACAGTTTCAGTCTACTTGATTACAGGCATCATCGACACTGCTTTAAAGTGACGGGCTAACTATTCCTGTATTGGTGTTTTCTAAAATTGTGAGTGCATTAACACCGACGGCCACTGAAACACTGATGTATTGATACAGATTCCCATATCGATTATTCAAATTCAGAGTATTTTTTGAAAGAGTAAATACGCTTATTTCAACACTTTTTCGCTACAAATTACAGTTAAAAGTATCAAAAAAATGCATTCTTTAAAAGGATCATTAATTCAGTGCTTCAGTAAACCTCAATATTACTGTGGTGTATATTTCAGTATTTACATCTACAATTCACACCACTAATCATATTTTATTTTGCACTCCTACTGCCAAAGTATAACATTGGTTTGAGATATAGGCCAAAACGAATGTTTATACAAAAGTTACATTTTTTGGACGTGGTTAAGCTTGTAGAACTTCTATGTTGGAAATTAAATCTAAAAACATTTATTGAACCACAACTAGTTCGTCAAGTATATAAAACAGAAAAAAAACATAAATTTCATTAAAAATACAAAATAAAACTTGTTATAAGATTAAAAATCTGTGTGAAGCTGCCCATATACAGAGTTACCTTTTTTTTAATCAAATTTAACAAAAACCCTAATACTTTTTTTTGTCTGGAATAATTTTTTCTTGAAAATGAAATGTGCAAATAAAATAACTGATCGTGGTTTGCTCTATAGGAAGAAAAACAAAAATGAATCAGGATAAACAGCAGAATAGTTGAAGAACATTATGATTGAAGAAAACAGAACCAATCGAAAAATGTTTACGACAAATACATGAATTTAGATGGCTACCAATGCAATGAAAATCATCGGTATTTTCCAATTAACTTTTGGTGTACTGGTAATTTTTTTCAGAAGTTTGTATAATTTTCACATTGCTCCACAGTTCAACGTCGGTCAGATTATATCAGCAGACGAAGTCCACCTGAAATATCAACACAGCATGAAAATATCTTCTAAACTAGATCTGATTAAAAGCTTCTTTCGGATTTTTCACTAGTCTTAACTGAAGAATCAGTTGTTCTGCAATTAGGTCCTATCCATGAAGAATGCAAAATACATTAAAGATAAATATGCTGCTGACTACTGAGTTTTCATTTTCTTAGACTTCATCTGAGAGCTGCTTTATCAAGAATGTCTAAAAACTTTATTTTTCAGTGACATCTATGTTTGTTTTAGTTTTTGTTTTCGTTACATTATTGAATGAGTACAAATGTAAATTAAATGTTGAACTAGATTATCAGGTATTATTGATCTATGAAAAGTGAGAGAATGATAGTCTTCGCAAGTAAAGCATAATTTTTGCGTCTCGATATTGACTTACCGACCGTTGCAAATGATTAACCCATTGAGTACAGTAGTACACATGTATGTACCATCTACTTTTCAGTGGTGAAAAAATGTTTTAATTGCATTAAGCTGTTAGATCTACAAGATCATATAAGTTATAGATAGAGCATGTCGGATCTAAAATTTTTGAAGCCGGACTCGGTGTATTGAACGCCTTGTAGGCCCGGACTTGGTTGATTACATTTTTTTGAACTCAAACCCGGCCCCAACCCGTACTGATGATAGTCCTTGAAGTTTCTTAGTTCACGTCCAATGCTCGTTGGTCAAAACACCCTCAACATTTCTCAAGCAACCTCGACGACCATCTTATAAGAATTAAGTTCTACCCAGGTCAATCGATACGACTGGTATATGGCCGTTTAGGGTTGCTTGACGACGCCTAAACAGGCCGTATGAAGCGAATGGACGGTGAAAATACGGATAGCCATTTCGATCAACTTGGATAATTGGCTCTGTTTTTCAGAATAGCATTGCTGGGATCGGGCTCAACCCGACGGACTCCAGTCTTTGGTGACCACATTTTGCCACCTCATGCTAATCCTTGTTTTGACTATCATAAGAGTTTTATGTTGTCACGTTGAGACAAATAAAATAAAATGATTGCAGAATCACTTTTCGATTAAAAAAATTCGTTGTCACAGGGTTAATCACGCCTCACCAGCGATTTACAGGCATACTGTGGTTTACCGTTGAAACTAATCCGGTATTTGTACTATGAATAATATCATTACTACAACAGAAGATGTACTGCTACTTTGAAAACTATTCAACTTTGATTAAGTTTACCTTCGAAATTTCGCGAAAATACGCATGAAACGCGACTGTTAACAAAGCCAGTGTCTAGACACTGCGCCATTTTTTGCTGCCTCGTCTCATGCCTGTCCAGGCAAACACGTGAAGTGTCTCAGATGATAAATAGTTTTTTCGTAGCTTTCTCATCACTAATTTTTCAAAGTTCTGTAATCTTGTCAGAAATCCGAAATTTATTTATAACTTAGTTTTGAATAATGCAACGATAGATTGACTAACAAAGAAAAATTTCAAAAACCACACTACTGTGAATGAAATATAGCAGAAAATGGGTCGCTTTTCATTCGAGATTATCTTAATGACTTCGAGTGAAATAATTCAAATAGCTTTAGCTATTTCAGCTGGAGAACACGTAAATAACTCACAGTATTTCTGCAGAACAATTTTGAACGACACTTCGTCGTAGAAAAGTAGTTCGTCTCATTATTTTCCGCTCTCTCAGAATAAATAACGATATGAAATCTTACACAATCTATCATATATTATACCTTGTAATCGAATGATAGTGAAGTGTCCGTTATCAGTAAGGAAGAGTTGAAATACAACTGATTTCATTATTTTTCGATCTGATTTATTCCAGTAGCTTATATATACGTCGTAGCTGTCACCGTCTTCACAATACAAGACTTAAAATTCTGACATGTGATTTTCTTCCTCATTTAGAAGGGATAGGTGCAGTAGGTTTTTTGCTTGTCTGTTTAATTGCAACAATGTGAACAAAAGATTTCTAGCTTCCTAGGCATTTACTAATCGAATGACATCTACAAATAATTAATCATTTCTGCTAATCAATATACAGATTTGCTGAGATTATGAAAGTTGTGAAAATTACTTTATATATCAATTTCAAATTATTTTGACAGGCAGAATTAAAAATCAGTATCAATTTTATATTTACTATTTTATGACCTTGAAACGCATTGCTTGAATGAATGTTTTCTCACCTTTTACACTTGTACGTAGTATTTTTCATGAATGAATTCTGACAAGAATAAATTAATGTAACTTGGCACGACATCAAAGCAAAATAATACAACTGTTTATTTTATAAAGTATATATATAAAAAAATAAAAATTCAACAAATAGAGATTAAAAAACAAATTTAAGTTTTTTTAAAAAGATCAGAACAATATGTATTGTTTTGAGATTGAGCAATTTCAATTGGTGTTCGATTATCTTTGTTTTTCTTTTTCAAAAGATTTGTTTTTATATCATTAGATAATAATAAAAGAACATTTTTGATTGTTTCATTAGCTTTATTTTCAGATATATTTGCCAGTAGATGTAAAATATTATTATCATTCTTATCAGTATTTTCAGCAAGATCTAAACGTTTTTTAAGAATTGCTTCAATTAAAACCCATTGATTGAGTTTAGCAGCAAGTAATAATGGTGTTTCACCATCATCATTTTTTCGTTCAAGTAAACCAGGTGATGTAGACATGTCGACTACTTGTTCGATGAGTTTTAATGCTAAATCAATATGACCATGTTGAATTGCATCATCTAAGGGTGGAGGATTTTGATCACATTTAGCAAGTAAAAGACGTGTTCGGCGAAATAATCGTGACGGATTATTTGTACGAACAAATTCAATGATTGCATCTTGTAATTGGCCAAGATATTTATCAAATTTAGAAGTTTTGTCTAGAATCAAAATAAGATAACATTATGAAAAGGTAAAAAAAAGCAAAAGCAAAGAAATGAAAATAAATATACCATCATCTATAATTCGACGATTTGATTCAGTATACTTCTAAAATATAAAATTATATAATGTTGAATAACAAAATTTTTATTAATCTACTTCTTCAGTTGTTAATCGACTCATTTGTTGAGCAAGTAATTCACCTCCATCAGATTCCGTAGGATCAAATATATAATATCTTTTTTTATTACTTATATGATTATTATTGATCATATCCCATTGACAACGTGAACATAAATTTATAGTTGTTTTCATTGCTAAAGTAATATAAAAAAGATAGAATAATCTATTTCGTAAAAAGATTTAAATTATTTACGAGTTAAATAAATAAAATCAATATGTGCAATTACTAGATCATTTTGTGTGACAATTATTGGTACTGTAAAATTTTGTTCGGCTATTAACATTTGACATGGTGGAGTTTGAAAAAAGATTGTTTTTGAATCAACAAATGTTACTTTGATATCACCTAGTCTTCCCATTGAACCATAATCAAAATAAATATTAAAGACTAAAATATACGAAAAAAAAATTAATGAATAGACATTTTCAAGCGAACATAAAAAGTACACTTAATTGTCTATAAAATAAAAATTAAATCTCATTTCTTTATAGATTGTATTATTGGTCATGAAATATATACAATAATAAATTGAGAAAAAAATCTGTTTAAATCCTATTGTGCTGTCATAATATAATAGAAAAAAAATGTTAATTCTCATTGTGCAAACAGTTAAATGGACACAAAAATGAACTAAGCAATGCATTAACTATTAGATCAATAGATATTTTTTTATTTACTTTTTCGTTTATCAAGTCTAGGTATTGTCATTAATATTTCATCTCCACCATTCCAATCACCTTTTTTCGGTGTACACCTAATTGTATCATCATCAAACATAGTTATACAATCTATATGATTATTAGATGGTTCTTCTAAACCAAAAAAAAAATAATAATAATTTCAATTAAAAAAAACAAAAGTCTAACTTTCTCGTCGACTAGCTT